CTAGTTCGGACTCGATCGAAGCGGCACTGTGGACGAGCAGCGTGCTCGACTCATCGCATTTTCACGACGAGCGGATAATTCCGAGGAAATCCAAGATCGACTCGAGGAACTGGAGCGCCGGTTCGGGAACGCACCCTCGGGCGAAATAAAGTCGCCTATACCCCTGGATCCGGCCCTCATATCACCAGAACCGACCACCTCGGCATCGTTGGTACCACCTTCGCTTTTCCTTCCGCGTAGTACTTCCCCGGCCACAGGGCGACGCCCGAAGGCGGAAGAACCTCCACGATCCGCGAGTCATCCTAGCGACGCCGGCCTGGGAGCCATCCTGATCGACAGGATGACGAAGTGGGGTCTTTCGTTCGACGGAAAGACGGATCCACTCGGGTTCATTGAGCACATCGAGGAGCGGGCCGATACTTGCCGGATCGACCGGAGATATCTGGCTCAAGCCCTGGTGGTGCTGCTGTCCGGCCGGGCTGAGAGTTGGTTCCGCACGAGCGGACTCCAGCAGGCCAGCTGGGTCGAGGTTCCCCGTGAATTTCTCGATTTTTTCCTGCCACCGCGGTACTATCAGCGACTGGAGGACGAGATCCGGACGCACCTGCAGCGGCCCAACGAGCCGTTCAAGGAATACTTAGTGGATCTTCGCTTGCAGATGCGCCGAGCTGGATTCTCTCCGGACCGAGAGCTGGAGCGCGTCTACGAAAACATGCTGCCGGAGTACCAGCTGTTCACCCGAAGACAGGATTTCCGCACCCTGGCGGAGCTGACCCACCTGGTAGTGGACTACGAGGTGACGCGCAGCCGGAATGGAGGCCAGGATCATTACTCTCCGAGCCCTCGACAGGAAGCTAGACTCAACTATGGGACGGAAGCCGGGCGGACGCCGCGCCGTGCCCCACCAGCAGCCCCATTGGCAACCCTTTCAACGGAGGTACCAGCCGAAACGCGAACACGAGCCAGAGCACAGCCTCTCTCGTCACATCGGAGCCAGTCAACCTTCGCGACGCCTGCCGCAACTGCCGCCAACCGGGACACTTCTCGGCCGAGTGCCGGAACCCCCGCATCATTTTCTGCTGGGACTGCGGACGCAGAGGAACCCGGACTATCGATTGCTGTCGACGTGCAGCATCGGGAAACGGGAACGGGTCTCGAGTGACCGGGAATCACCCGGGGAACCCGTCCAACCCATGCAGCCAGTAGGAGGAACCCTCCACCAAAACCAGGGACGAATTCGTGCCGCCATCACCATGGAAGGGCGAGGATTCGTGGCCACCCTGGACACCGGAGCTACGCATAGCTTCATCAGCGAGGACCTAGCCCGAGAGCTAGGCAACGCAGACAACACGCGAGATATTCGCATCCAAGCCAAGTTGGCCGACGGGACATGCCGGGAACTAACTCGGGCCCTCGCCGCCAATATACATTTGGGCAGCAAACGCGCTCCAACCATCCGGCTAGTGATGAGCGAAATCCTTGACGACGTTCTCCTAGGCATGGATTTTCTTTGCAGGATCGGAGCCACCATGCAGTGCGGGGAACAGACCCTCAGCCTGATGCCCGACCAGTACACGGAGCCACCATGGGCTCAAGAACAAGCCAACGCAAGACGCCGGAGGGAAGAGACACGCTCTGTCCGCTTCGACGAGCCACGCTCTGTCCACCTTGAGGAGCCACACTCCAACCCTCACAGAGGGCCACGCCCTACGCCGCAGCCGAGAGAGCCACGCTCTCGACCCCGAAGCCCGCCGGCCGAGTCACACTCTGCCCGCCGGGAGCCAGCGACGACGGAGCCACGCTCCAGCCACAGGGAACCAGCAACGGTCAGAGAACCGCCGCAACCGGCGCCACGCGCCCGCCCTCGGGGCACTGCCCCCGAAACCAACCGGGAGACCGCCAGCACCACGCCTGCCGGAGAGGAGAGCACATCCTCCCGGAGGTTGGCAGTCATCCCGGGCATAGACCCGTCCACGATGGGGAACCAGCCGCCAAGTTGGAGCCATGTCTTGCCTGTGGCGGATGCCACCGCCGCGCAGCGAAATCCATTTCGCACCTCCATGAAGCGTGTCCGTTTCCAGGACCACGCCGAGGAAACGCCGGCGCAAGACTCGCCTCTCTGCGGAGTCTCGGTGAGTCACCCCGCTGGGGATCCAGATTCAGCCGAGGCGGAAGAGCTCGAGACCCACAGCTACCCAGAGCCCTGGGTAGAGGAATTCCTGGAGAAGGAGTTGGCCTTGTTCGAGAACCTTTCAGGGGTGTCCCACATAGCGGAGCACCCCATCATCATGCGCAGCGATCGGCCACTGAAGCAGCGATACTTCCCGAGGAACCCAGCCATGAGGGCCATCATCGACAAACAGATCGACGAGCTTCTTCGAGACGGGCGGATCGAGCCCTCGAAGAGTCCGCACAGCGCACCCATCGTGATTGCGGCGAAGAAAAACGGAGACGTACGCATGTGTGTTGACTACCGTCAACTCAACGAAAACTCGGTTCCCGATGCCTACCCGCTCCCGAGGAATCACCAGATTCTGGAAGGCCTCCGGAACGCCAAGTTCATCTCGACGCTGGACTTGAAAAATGGATACTGGCAGATACCAGTAGCCCCGGGCAGCCGAGAGTGTACGGTTTTCACCGTTCCCGGTAGAGAATTATTCCACTGGCGGGTGATGCCGTTCGGCCTGCATTCCGCCCCTGCAACGTTCCAACGCGCTTTGGATACAGTCATCGGGCCTGACATGGAGCCGCACGCATTCGCCTACCTGGACGATATCAGCGTCATAGGCTCGACCCTGGAGGAACACGTCGCCAACCTTCAAGAGGTCTTCCGACGCCTGCGCAACGCAAACTTGCGCCTGAATCGAGGGAAGTGCCACTTCTTCCAGCGCCACATCGTCTACATGGGACATGTGATCAACGAAGCGGGTATCCATACCGATCCGGACAAAGTTGCCGCGATCCGCGAGCTGAAGCCACCAACTTGCCTAATAGAACTCTGGAGATGCCTTGGGATTTCATCCTGGTATCGCCGCTTTGTGCCAAACTTCGCCGACGTGGTCGAACCCATGACCGCGTTGCTGAAGAAAGGCCAAAAGTGGGAGTGGACATCGAAGCAGGATCACGCTTTTTAGGAGCTGAAGGCGCTGCTAACGAAGGCACCGGTTTTGGCCTGTCCGGATTTGACAGAAGTTCGTTCTACAGACGGATGCCAGCGAGTACGGAATAGGAGCCGTATTGACGCAGACCATCGAGGGACAGGAGAGAGTTGTCGCTTATGCCAGCCGCCGGCTCAACCCGGCCGAGAGGAACTACTCCGTTACGGAGAAGGAGTGCCTCGCCATCGTCTGTCAATCCGGAAGATGCGATGCTACCTCGAGGGGTACCGTTTCGACGTGCTGACTGATCATCACTCGCTGAAATGGCTGAATTCGATCGATAACCCGACGGGCAGGATTGCACGCTGGGCTCTCGAGTTGCAGCAGTACCAGTACGACGTCCATTACCGGAAAGGGGCCTAAAATCTTTTGGCCGACGCCCTTTCTCGCCAACCGCTTCCTACCGCGCAGCAAGCACAGGTACAAGGAGTCAACTGCCGCTGGATCAAGAAGATGCTCCAGAAGATGCGGACAGAACCCGCCGAGTTCCCCGACTACAGGGAGGAGAACGGACAACTCTATCGCCGCATTGGTCTCCGGCCAGAAGAGGAGGAGTACACGCCATGGAAACTGTGCGTTGGGTCGGATTACCGCCAACGCGTCCTCGAGGAATGCCATGACCATCCAACCGCCGGACACTTGGGAATCCGGAAAACTAGTAATCGCGTGGCTCAGCGATACTACTGGCCGGGTTTATTCCGCGACGTCGCGCGCTTTGTTCGTCACTGTACGAGTTGCCAGAAGTTCAAGGTAAGCCAGGAGAAACCTGCGGGGAGGATGTTCACCCGTCAGGTCGACGAGCCATTCCAGGTTCTCTGCGCGGACTTCGTCGGACCGCTTCCACGATCGAAGCAAGGCAACACCATGCTGTTGGTGTTTCTAGATGCCTTCAGCAAGTGGGTGGAGTTGGTGCCACTACGGAAAGCCACTGGAGCACAGCTTGAACGCGCTTTTCGGGAACGGATCTTGAGCAGATTCGGAGTGCCGAGGACTTTCGTCTGCGACAACGGCACGCAGTTCACAGGTCGGTCTTTCCAGAACTTCTGCAAAACGCTGGTCATGGAGCTGCAGCACACGGCGCCGTATACGCCAAGGCAGAACCCGACGGAGAGAGCCAACAGGACGATCAAGACGATGATCGCCCAGTACCTGGATGGAGGCCCGCAGAATACATGGGACCAGTTGTTGCCAGAAATCTCCCTGGCCATCAACAACAGTGTCTCCGACACAACAGGATTTAGCCCAGCTTTCCTGACGCAGGGGCGAGAACCGAGGCTGCCACGGACTCTATACGGACTCTATACGACGAGCACCAGGACGAGGCACCCCAGAGGTGGCCCCAACGGACTGAAGCCAGCAGCTGAAGGACATCTTCCGAGTAGTGCGAGACAACGCCGAGCGCGCTACGGCTGATCAGGGCCAACACTACAATCTGCGCCGACGGTCTTGGAAGCCGTTTGTAGGATCTCTAGTGCTGGTGAGACGCCACGCACTCTCCAACGCTGCTGAATGAATCGCCGCCAAACTGGCCGCGAGATACGAGGGACCCTTCCGAGTGGCGAAGTTCCCTTCTCCAAACATCGTCCAGCTACACGTACCCGGCAGTCGCCGGCGCCGTACTGCGAGTTTGGGGCAACTGAAACCCTACCGACAGGGAGAAACAGATGACTACGCCGAAGGCGCGAGCGATGACAGCGACTACGAGGAGGACCACGCTGAGGACACGCACAACCCAAAGCAGTCAGACGCCCCCGACACAAGCCCTGGGAAGAACCACCCCACTCCACGCCACTTGCTGACAGGCGCGCCTGTCCAACGCTCCTACCCCCCTAGGGGGGAAACATGGGCCCTCTCTTTGGCAAAGAAAACTTAGAAATCGAGCAACTCTCGGTTGGGTAGGGTCCTTCGAAAGCGCCCCCTAACAACGCCGTCTCTTTTGCTCTTTTCTCTCCACAGATACATCGATCACCGCGCAGCACGAACGCACACGGTGCACCAGACTGCGGCAGAGCAACATCGCCAGCAACAGCAACAGAGCTGTTCTACAGTCGCGACCCACCGTCCACAGGCAACCGCCAGCGAGCACACGGCCGCATACTCGGGGAAGCCAGCCCCGAGCACAGCCGCATCACTACCAACCCGGACCAGCCATCTCGCCACGATGACAAGCACCGTCTCATCACCCCGGGAAGACGCCTGGATAGGGCTCGCCCTTGATGAGCTGCTGGATGGTCTCCAGATGGGGCATCGGCCCCAACCTCCACTCCTCGCGCCACTCCGTGTGGCCGGAGGACGCGGACAAATTTCGTCCGCGGAGCAGCTCGACGTCTCGCCGGATCACCGATTCGGCCCAATACGGGTGGACACCACCCCGCCACGACCACGGCCAACCGAGGCCGCCCACACGCCTGCCGACCAGGGCAAGCAGCCACTCGCAGATCAGGGGTCGCCGCCTTTGGTCCTGCTCCGCACGACCCGGCCTCCATCGACTCAGGCCACCCAAGGGCAAGGAGATAAATCATCACCACGGGAGGCACCACGAGCAGCCGGCCCGTCGACGCGTCCGCACACCGGCAGGGTCGCCACGACATCGACCGGCCACGTAACCCCATCTTCAAGGGCGGCGCCGCGAGCTGCCATCACTCCGGCACGCTCACGCACCGGCCCGACTGCAACAACGCCTGGGACACGCAAGTCCAGGCCATAGCACCGCTGGTCCCGTCAGGGGCTGCAGCGGCACCAGATCTAGACGGCGAGGTGGAAGCGGCGCTACGAGAGTGCCTAGGCGACCTTCCACCCGACGTGCTGGAGGAGATGGCCCACGGGGCAGAAGGTTTAGACATGGAGGACCTCTTCGGGGAGGCTCCCGACGAAGACGGAGTGGAGCTTCCGATGCGCCCCGCCTCCGACCCATCCGTCGACGAGCCACGGACCCCGTCACCTCAATTCCGGCCGGATTACGAGGTGATCTCCAGCGACGAGGGAGAGGCGGATGAGATCATCCAGATCTCCGACTCCGACGACGCCGAGCCAGATTTTAGACCGCCGGGCACCCCGCCGCCGGCGTATGAGGACATTTTCGGGCCGAGCCCGTACTCTACCAGACGCCCGATAACCTCCTGCGCGGCCTCATCACCGAGCCAATCACCGCCGACAACGTCACGCGGATACCACGCCACCGTCACTCCACGCCAGGCAGATGGGCCGTCGACAAGCCGACGTTTCGACTCGACGACCGACGAGGACTCCGCCGACGAGAGGACAGCCGTGGCCGTACCGAGCCGCCCCCCGCTACCAACACCCGGCGAATACGCCGCGGCAGTGGCTCGACGCAGGGCTGAGGACCTGAGCGACGAGCTGGGCTCGTCCTCCGCCGGGCCGGTCCGGCCAATCAATCCGGAGCCACGTTCGGCCAGGGACCGACCACCAACACCAGCACCGGCACGCCTAGGCCGCCGACGGAGCGCGCCCTGGGCGGACAGCCCCAGCGAATCCTCGTCCGAGGAGGAGTTGCCCCGCGACCGCCAAGGTCACACCCACTGGGTACCCATTCCCGATGGCTGGAGCACTCCCAACGGCACGCTACCCGCCGGGCTCATCATACGGATTCAGCAGCGACTCCTAGTAGCCAGACGAAGGGCCCGACGCTACCTGGAGGAGGAGCAGGGCCAGCTGTTCCGGGTACAGCTGAACCGGGACGACCACGTCCGGGTCTTCTTACACCCCACCCGGAAGTGAGAGGGGAGTGTGACGACTCGACTGGTCGCCACTAACATGTACATATATAAATCACTGTTTCCTAAATTAAGCTTAAACTACTTATGTAAATATTATACCTAAAATGAAGACTAGAATTAAGCACACACACACACACCACCCGGCAGGGCGGTATAACCCCCGTCGCAGAGCCAGGGAGAAATCCTTGGCCAGCGTGGGAGCCCGGCGCTGACCGACAAGCCGGCTATGGAAGAGGTAAACCCCGTCGTGGGCGGAACAGCACTGGCGGCGTCGCCATGTGCATCGAGGGAAGAGGAAGAGGCAGCGGCGTTCAGCAGGAGCAGCAAGCTCGCCCGATCGCCACAGCTGCACAAGACCCAAGGAGGGCAGAGCTCAGACTCTACGCCGCCCCCCAAGAGGTCACGAGACCCTGCAAGCCCGGCTGGTTCACCAAGAACTAAGAAATGCAAGGCGTTAGTAGAGCCAGCTTGCCAGCAGGATCTCCAGGAGATGGGAAAATTGCTGCATGAGGTTTCATTGAAGATGATGGACAAAACGACGCGTCACATCACCATGTCCTTGAGGGAGATGATTGCCAAGGTGAAGTCCCTTCACTCCAACATCCTTGTAGCAAACAGAACGGCCGCGGCAGGTGTCAGCGACAGGCAGGAGAGCCGGGTCGCGAATAACCTGTGCCGGAAATGCGCCCAGATCACCCAAAGCGCGGACAAGGAGCAGCAAACGGCGACCGCCTGGAAAAAGGAGGCATCGGTCAAAACCGAGCCGTGGAGAAGGCTAAGCCAGCCAGAGGCGCCGGGATTACCCGCACCGGTGCTGGCCCCGCCACTCCCTCGTCTAGCGCAGCAGAAAAATGCAAAGGCGCCCAAGAAGCCCCGTGCGAAGCCGCCAGCGGCTGTGCATGTTGCATCGGAGCAGCATAGGCCAGCCCGGAAGCCTGTGAGCCAGGAGAACCCCGAAAACGAATGGGAGGTCGTGGCGAGGAAGGCGAGAACAGCGCGCCGCACTCGGCCAGACGCTGTCATTGTCCACGCGAGCGGCAAGTCCTACAGCGAGGTGCTCGCAATGGTGACGAGGAGAGACGACAAGCAGCTGTCGGACCTGGGACGCTGTGTGTCAAAGGTTCGCCGAACCAACAACGGCAACCTGCTCCTGGAGGTGGCGAAGGGTAGCGCCGAGAGCGCCGCGACAATGAAGGAGAACATCGAGAAGGTGCTCGGAGATTCAGCGTCAGATGCCTAGAACCAGGGCATATTGCGATCCACTGCAAGGGCCCTGTGGACAGGAGCGGTTGCTGCATTAATTGCGGCGAGCCGGGACACAAGGCGGCCTCGTGCAACAAGGAGCCGTCATGCTTCATATGCGCTGCGGCTGGAAGGAAGGAGACGAGGCACAAGGCAGGCGCCAGGGGATGCCCAATCTCAGATAGTGGAAAGGGGAATCTTCGACCTCCATGCAGTTGATTCAACTCAATCTGAACCACTGCAGGGCAGCTCAGGATCTCCTGTCGCAGACGGTGCGAGAGCTTGGCTCGGAGGTGGCAGTCCTAAGCGAGCCCTACAGGGTTGGTAACAACCGCGACTGGGCCACTGACCTCTCTGGCAAAGCGGCCCTGTGGAGCTGCGGAGCGGATGCGCCGGAGATGCGCGACACCAAATCAGCGGAAGGGTTCGTTCGGGCGAACATTGGCGGAACCTGGCTATACAGCTGCTACTTGGCACCCAGCCTTTCACTGGAAGCGTTTGGCAGGGTACTGGATGAGCTGTGCAGCGACCTGCGTGGGAGGAGCAACGTGGTGGTCGGCGGAGACTTTAACGCCTGGGCCATGGAATGGGGTCCTCTCGGACCAACGCCAGAGGTCGAGCGGTGCTGGAGACCTTCGCCTCCCTGGACGTAGTCCTTCTGAACGAAGGCTCCCGTCAGACCTTCAGCAGGGCTGGGGTGGGCTCGGTAATCGACCTCACCTATGTCAGCAGTACGCTGGCCAGCCGCGCCCGATGGAAGATCAGCGAGGCCTATACCGCCAGCGACCACGAGGCTTTCGAGTGCTCGATAGGCGCCGCGCATCGCACGAGTGGGTCCTTACTCCCGGATAGGAAGGCGTTCCGGCAAGACACCTTCAGGCCGCGGGATTTTGCAAATGCCCTCGAGGGCTTCACGGCAGGCGAAGCAGACGGAGCCAATGAGACGGCCGACAAGCTGGCTTGGGCCGTGGACGGCGCTTGCAGCCAAAGCATGCTACTAAGAAGGCCGTTCAAAAAGCACCACTCCCCGATGTTTTAATGGAGCGAGGAGATCGCGGACCTGGGCCGTAAATGCCACCGCAGCAGAAGATTGTTGCAGCGAGCTAGAGGCACCCCGCGTCTTCTTACGTGTAACGACCGCTACAGGGCAGCAAGAAAGGAGCTCAAGACTGCCATTAAGAACAGCAAACGAGAATGCTTCCTCAAGCTGTGCGACGCCGCCGAGGAGGATCCATGGGGAGGAGCCTACAGAATGGTAGTAAAGAGGCTTAATGCGGGTGGCTGTGCCCCAACCGACCCGGCGACGCTGGAGAGGATAGTTGGCTCCCTGTTCCCGAGCACCGAGTTGGGCGACATCCGTTGGGTCACGGAAGCTGAGGTTCTCCTTGCCGGTAGAAGCCTGAAGCCCAAGAAGGCTCCGGGGCCAGACGCGATTCCGAGTAGAGCAACCAAGCTGACTCTATCGTTGCTGACGTCCGAAGTTGCCGGCCTGTTCAACAAGTGCCTTCTGGAGGGGACGTTCCCCGACAGATGGAAAAGGCAACGTCTGCTACTGCTGCCCAAGCCATGCAAGCCACCAGGAGAAGCATCGTCCTACAGACCGATCTGTCTGCTGGTCACGATCGGCAAGGTATTCGAAAGGGTGATCTCAACCCGGCTGAGCCAAGCCATCGAAGCCGCTAGTGGACTCTGCCCGGAGCAATATGGCTTCACGAAGGGGAAGTCTACTCTGGACGCCATTGCAAAGGTAGTCAAATTGGCGCAGGATGCCATTGCCGGAACCAGGTGGAAAGGAGGAAGCAAGTCCTACTGGTGGTCACCCTGGACATCAGGAATGCCTTTAACTCGGCAGGCTGGAGCCGTACGCTAGAGTCCCTGAGGAACTTTAACATTCCTGGGTACTTGCTGAACGTAGCTCACAGCTACTTCAGCAACAGGGACACGAGCATGGGTCCCAAAGAGCACAACGTCTCAGCCGGAGTCCCGCAGGGCTCCGTCCTGGGTCCTCTCCTTTGGAGCGCAATGTACGACCGCGTGGTGAGGCTTTCGATGCCAGTCAGCACCAACCTGGTTGGATTTGCGGACGACGTCGCTATAGTGGTGGTAGCAAAGGAGCTAGCATCTGTGGAGGCGCGCGCGGACACGGCCATCCAAGCCGTAGAGTCGTGGCTGGCGGTTGCAGGTCTGGAGCTGGCGGCCCACAAGACGGAAGCGGTCCTAATCTCGAGTCGGAAAGCGGTGGAGACTGCTAGCGTGCTGGTTGGAGGGACGAGGATCCGGTCGCAGAGGGCGATCAAGTACCTGGGCGTCATCATCGACACCCGGCTGTCTTTCAAGGAGCACCTGGAGTACGTCCACCAAAAGGCCAGCGGTACGGCTGGAGCGCTCTCCAGGATGCTGCCGAACACTAGAGGTCCAAGGCAGTACACGAGGAAACTCCTATCATCTGTGGTGACCGCGCAGATCCTGTACGCGGCACAAGTTTGGGCTGAAGCTGCTTCGGTCAAAAGCTACATGCGAGGAGTGGAGGCGACCTACAGAGTAAGCGCTATCAGGATCGCGTGCTCGTTCCGGACTATCTCGGAAGACGCGGCACTGGTCATCGCAGGGCAAGTCCCACTGGCGGAGCTTATCCGGGAGAGGAAGTAAATCTTCGCAGCCATGCAGGACAGGAGGGCACTGCCGTCCAGAGCAGAGCTAAAGGTTGCCGCTAGAAGGAGGAGCATAGAAAACTGGCAGTCCCAATGGGACTCCTCTTCTAAAGGCCGTTGGACGTACCGACTCATCCCAGACATAGCGCGATGGGTAGAGAGGTCGCATGGGCAGGTCAACTTCTACCTGAGCCAGGTGCTAAGCGGCCACGGATGCTTTCGCCATTACTTAAAGCGCTTCGGCCACGAGACGGAGTGCCGGAGGGTTGGCCTGGAGAGGAGGAGCTAGAGGAGGTAGCTGGATCCACGATCAGCGCCGAATCTTTGGTACCGAGGATGCTCGAGGACCAGAGAGTGTAGGAAGCGGCAAACTCATTTGCCGCTTGCGTGATGAAGACCCTCAGGACCCTGGAGCGAAGGCGGAAGGAGCGGCCGGAGTAGGGGCTTTTGCGCCCGCGAAGCAATGCCATGCGGCGGTACCGCACGGCGTGAGCCCGTACTTCTACGCAAAATCAAAGACAAGACGGAAAATTGTCTAATCAGTATTGTAAATTTTTGTAAATGTAAGATAGTAAATAGTGGAATAAATTTTGAATACAAAAAAACACACGACCCGGCACGAAGCCATACACACACACACACGCACACATCACCCGGCATGAAGCCAAATAAACCCCGCGAAGGGAAGTTCAAAACGAGTGCAAAGCTTTTGAAGTTACGCGCGCAAGTGGCAACGCTGTCAGCGATAGTATCAGCATCTGGCAACGCCAAGATCGATCGCGGCAGCGCTGCCGACAGAAATAAGGTCACAGCCACACTGCGGAAATTAGGTCAATTTAATTCTCGCAAAATTCTCGTCCTCGCAAGTTGTGCCGCTCCCAAAGTTAAGTAAAAGTGTCCGTGAGAAACCGCGTGTCCGCGTCGGGAATAATTATCCTGCAGGACCTCTAAGGACATCCAACCAGGGTGAGCATGGCCGCCGGCCATTAAGTATATTGGGGATTTATCCCACACCCGCCGCCAGAAGTTATTTTCCCGAATAAAAGTACCAATTAGAAAAACATGTGCTTAAATCGAATTGCGCGTTTTCCCTGTCTTCGTGCGCGGG